AGAAATGCGGGTCACAGATTCTCACTCACAGTCACTGAGGACTCCCAATGTCCTCCAACAGACCAACCTACCCAAATTTAATTTAATGGAGCTGGACTCCTGCTACATAATAGTCATGTCCATTTTTTAAAGTCCCATTCTAATGATATTTATAAATGTTTAAAGTGTAGTAAAGAATAATATTTATAAATATGCTTAAATAGTGGTAAAGAACCCACCTACAATGGTAAGGAATCTGCCTGCCAATGCAGGAGACATAAAAGACTCAGGTTCGATCCCTGGGTCAGGAAGATCAAGGAAATGGCAACCCACTCCAGTAATCTTACCTGGAGAATCTCATGGACAGAGGAGCCTGGAGGGCTATAGTCCACAGGGTTGCAAAGAGTTGGACACGACTGAAGCAACTTAGCACAGCACATAAGTATGTTAGTATATAACACATGCATATTATACAAGCATGTGTTTGTATTAACCTCAAGGGTTAATATAATAAGTGCACAACTATTTTAACCAATGGATAAGTCCCTGCAGCTCTCCTCATCTTTAAATGCACAGCCCACCCCAGATAACACACATGCCAAATTTACAAAAAAGACAGCCAAACCTCGGTGGTCTTCGAGGATGTGATGAGGGTCCATGAGCTCAGTGGGTTCCCAGGTCACGTGTACAAAGCTCTAAGCCTTCAGCTTTTCTTCCCAAGGTGGCTGACAAACGGAAGCGCTGCATCCACTCCTCACAGGAGAGGCCTGGGCCCTGGTTCTCCTTCCACGAGTCTGTGGGCTGAGCTGGACTCCAGGGAGGGTGTGCCACCCTGAGGGTGTGTCACAGCAGCTCAGGAAGAATGAGGAGTTTCCTGGAGTCTAGCTCCTTCCTCCAGCACAGAGTCCTCATCTCCTGACCCTCCCCACTCTGTCTCCTGCTAATTCTAAAGACCACTCCAAACAGCACATCAGTTCACTGACATCACAGCTGCAGAACACCATCCTTGTTGCAAAGACATTATTAAAACATGCCCGGAACGTTCCACGGGTTTTCCGCCACTCTGCACTATTCAAAATCCAGACTTATATCACTGTGATTGCACAATAACTCAAACACAGGAGACAAAGAAAGAAAAGGATCGATTTTCCCAAGCCTTCTGCCTCCTCTTTTCACTTAATGAATTATCATCTCACCAGATGGGCTTTTAGTACTTTTTTTTTTTATACTAGGATTTAACAAAAATACTCCAACTTGGGGAGGCTCCTTTTACTATCAGCCTGGCTGTTCATCATGGCTTTGGATGTTGTTCCCAGACAAAATACTGGTCTGAGGCCAGTCATGGACTTTGAGTCCTTTTGTATTAGGTAAAGGCTGTCTGAAAACAATGGCCCCATCCGGTGAGGTTCAGGAAAGAGGCATTTTTTTCCTTTAGTAGTCAGTAATGCCCTGATGCACGGCTGGATTACCCGCCACACACAGTCCAATTTTTCTCCCAGTTATTTTTGAACACCAAGGCTTTTGCAAATTAGAAATGTTATGAAGACAGTTTAAACGGGAAAAGATACTTAGGACAAATATCCCCAGCATCAGATGCATTTATAGGCTAAGACATAGAAGGAAACTAGCATAATTATTTTCAATGTGAGAGCAGATCATTTAATTCCTGCAAGAGACACAAACTCCCGCACCCATTCCGAAATAGTAATTTAACATAAGGCACATAATCTACCCATTGAAAGGAATGACTACATGATCACATTGTTTAAATATAAAGCTTGATTAATTGAACATTCTCAGCTTACTTTTTTCTCCATCTAGGTGGGTTTTTTAATTTGTTTTGAAATGGCTTTGGGTCATACTCTGGGGTCACCCCACCCTCCCTTCCTTGAGTCCAGGCCACTGCCTGGAACTCTGCGCCCCTGATAACATCCTCCTGACTTGGCCAAAGCACCAGGCGCCAGGCAAAAGATCACAACTGGACCACTCGTTGATAAAATGCTTGGCATTTGCAGAGCTGTCATATGTTAGCTGCTGCCAAAAGGCCAGTTGCATTTATTGAAATCTTCTGATTACGCCTAATGCCCAGCATGCTCATGACTGATTTCAGAGTTTAGCCCTAATGCCTTTTGTGTTAGTTAGTGTCTCAGGATTGTAACCATAAGGATAGAACAGAAGTCTTTTATAGTTGCATTTTTTTTCTCATTAGTTTTCATTTCAATTCTAATGAAAGCTAGCTTTTCCTATTTCTGTGACATCTCATATTATAATCCCTAACTGATTTTAAATGAAAGGGAGGAGAAGCAGCCATGTGTAGTGCTGTAGCACTTTTCTGAAGCTAAAACAGGATTCTAGCTACTTGCCTATGCTCCCTGCCTTTTATAAGGCAGGACAGACACAAGAGGAGTTGGGACACGATTCAACACGGAAACTTTGACTTTTTGAAGAGTTAGCCAATAAAGTAGTTCCTTCCTGGTCGTGGGCCTCCAAATTTGACTTCTGTTAGCTGAATCAGAGATACTCTGGCAGTTGATCAGAATGCAGACACCTATTGCTTAGAAACTGTTTACACAACTGTCTTCCAATTAAAAGGCAATGGTACACCTACAATGTCATCCTAAAATCAGAGACACTACTGTGTGTTCTTTACCTTACATAACTCAGTCACCTGAGGAAGCTGCAGCAGAAATCTTTCCCAAATGATGCTCTTCAGAAGTCTTCCCAGGAAACCAAAATTAATCAAGAAAAAAACTAACTTAAATTACATATTCACCTAAATTTGAGAAATGCTTCATTAAGCATTGTTCAACAGGGAGCTTCTCAGAGACGTTGATAAGCATGTGTGCCTTGTAACTCTTTGAGAGAAAAATAAGGTAAGATGCATTTTCTAAATGTATTTGATGAGAGAATGCCCAACGCCAACACTAAGATTAACTGACCACAAAACTGAGTTTGGACACTGCACTAAGGAAGCAGAGGGCTAGCAAGGAATGTGGAGATCAGAGAGCAATCTTAGAGCCAGAGGAATTCGAGAACTTGCCAAGGCCACACAGAATGGGTAAGGAGGAGAATTCTGACCAGCTACATTCCATCCTGTTATCCGGAGGGCTACCATAGGCCTCAGTGTCTGGTTCTGTTTGCAAGTCAAGTCTGGTCCCCAGTGATGCTAAGCTTGGAACATAGATACTGCGTGTTTCTAGGCAAACAACACATCTTAAGGCAAATTATGTTAAAACACCGGGCCTAGGAGATGCCGCCTACCATAATACAATTTCATGACAGAGCAGAGAGTAAAAAATAGCAGATATCAATAACAAAACACCCACAGGGCCCTGGCCTCATCTTTTAAACTAAGCATAAGAGACAGAAACTTGAAGCAAATTTAATTCCCTAAGAAGAATGATTCTATTGGGAAAGATGGAAACTAAATTTCTCAAAAGGTCATATTCAATAAGGAAGAAGACCCCTCTAGACCTTAATGAGAAAAGCACAGCAAAGAAAAAAGTTAAGACTGATTTGTCATTTCCCTTGAACTTGGGTTGCAATGTTATTTGGTTATAAGCCCAGATAATTGCCCCAACCCAAGCTCAGCTATGTGACTCCATGGGAAAGAACAATGTCAAGAACTAAAAGAGGCCTGGTCCCTGGACAGGCCCTTGGGTGGCAGTAAGGTGGCACCGAGGCCACGAGGAGAGGGCAATGAGGCCACCACTCAAAGGTGAGTGGGCCGGGCCCGGCTGGGCGACCACTGCCATGAGTGGCTCCTCGGGCACCCCAAACCTGGGCAGCAGGATCAGCCTCATCTCCAAGGCGCAGATCTGCTACAAGGGCATCCTCTACACCATCGACAGGGACAATGCCACCGTGACGCTCGCCAAAGTGAGGTCCTTTGGTACTGAAGACCATCCCACAGAAAGGCCTGCCCCCCCAGAGAGGAGATGGATGAGTACATCATCTTCCAGGGAAGTGATCTCAAAGATATTACTATGTGTGAGCCTCCAACAGCTCAGCACACACTCCCTCAGGATCCTGCTGTCCTTCAATCTTCCCTGGGCTCAGGTTGGGCTCCCCCTTCCAGCCACAGGTGCCTTACAGCCCGAGGGATGCCACCGTACCACCAGCTGGTGGCCAGCTCCCTGCTTAGCCAGCAGGATGCCGGCCTCCTTGGGTTTAGGACCCAGCTTTCCGTCTGTCTCAGTCGGCAAGAACCCCATGGTGGGGCAGGCTGTCCAGCCTGGATCTCTTGATAATTTGAACTCCAAGAAGCTGTTACCTGGCAAGGGCTCTGTGGGCATGCAGCTCAACAGGCGCCCGGCCCCACCCGGCCACAAGGCCACCACCAATGGAGCTCAGAGCAGCCGGGCAAACTCAAGGGCAGGTGAACGACAGAGAGCAGAAGACCTCAGAGGAGGCGCTCAGCGAACAGATGAAAAAGTCGTCCAACTAACACCAAGGAAAACACCATCAAGTTTGAAGGTGACTTTGATTTTGAGAGGGCAAACATCCAGTTCAGCCGAGAAGAGCTGGACAAGGAATTTAAGAAGAAACTGAATTTTAAAGACGACAAAGCTGAGAAAGGGGAAGAGAAGGACCTGGACGTGGTGACCTAGAGTGACGGGGCGCCTGCTGAGGAGGACCTCTTGGGGTCCCGCTGCTACTACGACAAGTCCAAGTCCTTCTTTGATAACATCTCCTCTGAACTCAAGACCAGTTCCAGCCAGACGACGTGGGCTGAGGAGAGGAAGCTCAACACAGAGACCTTCGGGGTGTCAGGGACGTTCCTCCGAGGCTGTAGTTTCTAGGGTGGATTTCAAGGGGGCAGGGGCAGCGGTGCAACCCACCGTAACCCGACTTCCCACAGAGCTGGGACCAGCAGGGTGTAAGGAAGTGGCCGAAGTTTCTTGCTGAAGCAGTACCGGCGCCAGGCCGTGTCTACGAGGCCAATGGAGAACGCTGCACTTACTAGGGGAGACACAGTCACTTCATTTACCGAGTTTGGAAAGTTCCACGCTACCACTTACGTTTTGAACTGAACTTGGACATGGTCTGAGGTGTCCCAGCCTATTTTTCCTTTTTAGTTGTGCACAGCCTGATTCTAAGGTTTGGTGTTCTATAGAAAGGTTCTAGAGTGGAAGTGTGATCCTCACTTTGTGACCTTTCTTGGACAGTTTTGACTTTGAAGGTGGAACCAAATTTCATTTGGCAAATGCGGAAAAAAAAAAAAAAGAACTAAAAGAACTTGCAGCTCACCACCACTTAAACAGAAAGCTATCTGATGGTGGCTTCATCTGGATATGTATGGTCTATACGACATATAACGATCTCTGCGCTACTCAAGCCAGTTTCTGCTGATGATTTCCAAGTGGATCCCATGTCATTATTTTTGTGACTGGAAATGAAGTTTTATAGACTTTACAAAGATAATAACAATGTCTATAACATATGGATATGATATATCACAGTTTCATAAACTGCAAATAGAACAGCCTTATTATCATTCATGGCTCACACAGGGGGCTCACTCTTTGCAGGTATTGAACAAAGAATCTCTCGTTGATTTCTAATAACCCTCTGGGGCAGGTACCATTACCATCTCTATCAGAAAGAGGAGGCAGCAGCAACAGAGAGAAGTAAAAGACACTGTCCAAGGTCATTCCACTAATAAGTGATGCAGCTGGGGCCTGGACACAAGCAGTCTGAGTCACAGACCATGGCCAGGATTCTAAAACTCCCTCAAGAATATTAAACAGCTCAGGCAACTCATTAAATCAGAGAAGGTGTCAAGGCCATCTCCAGGCCTGAGATAATAGTGGGGGTAATCCAAAACATGAATCTAGCTGTATAAAAAGTAAGAATATATTGAAGTCTGCTACTGCTTTTTGCAAAAAGCCTAAATATGGAAGACTATATGGGAGAAAGGGGAGGCTCGTACTACTGATTTCAGAAGAATCATTTTTCTGAGCCACATGATGTTTTCATGAGATTCTCCACCATTCGTCTCCTTCACAAAGAGACCTAGTCAATGGCTAGTACCTGTCTGCAAAGGCTGCAGTGAAGGGACCACCATCATGGCAAACTGCCCCCCCAACCTCATGCCTGCTGTGTAGAGCAGTGTTCCATCCTCAGATTGGAGTTGCCATCTGACACTTACTTTAGACCCCGCTTCTTTTTAACTTTTTATTTTCTATTAGTTTACAGCCAATTAACAATGTTGTAACAGTTACAGGCGAACAGTGCAGGGATTCAGCCATACTTATACATGAATCCATTCTCCCCCAACCTTCTCTCCTCTCATCTAGGCTGCCACATAATATTGAGCAGAGTTTCATGTGCTATAAGTAAATCCTTGTTACAGGTTATCCATTTTTACATGTCCGTCCCAAACTCCTTAAGTATCCCTTTCTCCCATTCTTCCGTCCAGCAACCACAAGTTCATTTTTTTGTCTGTAATAGACCCAACTCCTTTCTTGTTCTGGCCCCATTGTAACTCACCAGTGATCCTAGGCCAATCACCAAACTAACTTCTATATCTGTTCAATGGGCGAATAATACCTGCTCTATCTACATCAGAAGAGTTAAGAGATAACAGGGCCACCTAAAATTTCTATCAACTCTTTTTCTTTTCTTTTTCTTTCTTCTCTTCTTTTTCTTTCTCCCTTCCTTCCTTCCTTCCTTCATTTTTTCCTTTCTTTTCCTTTCCTCTTTTTTGGGCCACTACTTGCCAAAAAGGACTTTAAATGAAATTTCAATAAACTGGACTCCCCACATCAAGCAATAAGCTGGACAGAAACAGGGTAGCTGGTACATGGAAACCCACCACCTGAACTTAAGCTTATCCTCATCACTGCTGGATGCTGACCCTTAATATTTGCCACCAGCACCCCAAAATTGGGCTAATATTTTTCAAGCAGTTATTTTGTACCAGGGACTAAGATAAGCATTCTTAAGTGCCGTGTTTCCTCATAACAGCCTTAGTAGGTAACTGCTTGGAAGAAGGGTATTATCAACCCTTCTTTAACATATACAAAGACTAAGCTTAGAGAGAAAGCATTTTTTCTCAAAGTTGCAGCTTGTGGTCAGGGGAACAGGGTCTTGAACTCAGGTCCACCTGTTCATTACTGTGTTAGAGTGAGGACTGATCAAGAGGCTAAACCGCAATATCCTTAAGCCTTCTCCACATCACTCTGTGTACAATTAAGCAGTATCGATGCTGTTATTTGTGTGAACCTTTTCAAATAAAGAGGAACTAAATCAGAGCAGAATGTGCTTAGTGGTTGTCATCAGACAGCTTCTACATCACCTTTTCCACAGCCAAGAAGCGGACAGCCATGGCTTTGCTAATTCCCTCCCCTCCAGCTTTTGTCTATTTCATCTGCCCTCACTCTCAGTCTTACCCAGCCTACGGGACTAGCCTATAGGCGATTAAAAAATACTCCTTACTCTCTGCCAAAATAATAGGCATTTCTCTTTCCTGTCTCATTTGATACAAATAAACTGCAGGAAATGGGGTATTCCAGTCTTTCTGTGCCTTTGAAAAAGTTGCAATGATACAGTCTAAAATGAAAAAAAAATTACTGCAGAATGAGGAGATTCTACTTTTGTCTCATTATAGGAGCACCAAACATTAAGTTAAATCATGAGTGACCATAGTCTGGATTTTTATAATTTTCACATTAATTATCATTTGTCTCACAAGTGACATATGACCATAGTGATGGCAAAACATTCCACTTGTAGCTTCACCCCTAGAGAAAGAAGGCTATTTATTGACTGTGCTATACATAGCAGGCTACATTTTATATGGGATTTTTTGTTGTTAGAGGGTAGGAAAATTGATAAATACCTAGAATACTTGCCCTGGAGATGTTACCACATCATTCTGTATCACCTGCATCTTTCAGAGTGTACCACTAGCAACCAGTTTGAAAGCTGTATTCTCTTTGGAAGCTTTATTCAAAGTTAGTGAGAAGAGAATATGCCACATCTTAATGAGAATGAGAATACTACTTCAAACCACTGTCTCTGATTTAAATCTCCTGTATAATTTGGGAAACTGTAAATTCAACTTAACATTCTGTACTACCCTGTCTAGTTAACAATTCAATGAAGCAAACATTCATATCTAATCTTTAAGGAATGTGATCATTTATTTATGGTCTCGTGGAAGCCAATAATTCCAAAGACTTTTCTATTGACTTTTTTTTTAAGATTTTTTTGATGGAGACTATTTTAAAGTCTTTATTGAATTTTTTACTGTTTTATGCTTCTGTGTTATGTTTTAGTATTTTGGCCGAGAGTCATGTGGGATCATAGCTCCCTGACCAGGGATTGAATCCACACTCGCCGTATCGAAAGGCAAAGTCTCAACCACTGGGCCACCAGGGAAGTCCTCCCATTGACATTTGAAAATCTTAATGGTTTGTTTCTGCCCACTTTCAATTTTCATCTCTTCTAAAATCATTTGTTTACTTTGGCAAAGGGAGTTGGACTAGTTTGTAACTACATACATCACACCTCTATAAACCTAGTCAAAAATCAAAAACCAAAAGAAAATAAAAATTTTTCTACTCTGTTCCAAATGAAAGAGGATAAGTCTAGTTTAAGGTATGTTTAATGACAGAGCAAAAAAAAAAAAAAAAAAAACATGCATTTAAATCTTTCAAAATAAATCAGCAGTGAGGATGCCTACTTAAACCTTTTTAGGTTTCCTAATAACCAATTTCACATTAGGAAGGAGGTAAATAAAGACCATGAAAATCTATGACTGATCCCAGGTTGCAGAATAAGTGACTGGCCTGGCCAGGGTTACGGCCAACCATGGGCTCTGAGTCATGTTTTCCAGAGTAAGCACTGTCCCCAGGTTGCAGAGGACACAGCTCCTAACACACGTCCCTGTCCTCATTCAGGAACGCGCCCGGGTCTGTCTGTCACCACTCTTCCGGGAACTGCCCGCAGTTCTAGGGACAGGCTCACAGATGAAGTAGTGATCTTACTCTTGTTCTCAACATTTTAAAAATACTGAGAGGCCAGGGACAGGAAAGCAGCCAGAGCCCTGCTAATTTAAGATGAAAAATAAAACCTTTCTGAAGTTGAGTGCAAATCCAGAGAAAACAATGTTTGCTTGATAAAATTTGAATTTACCCTCAAATTAGGATGGAAGCAGGATCCATCCGGCTTGCTGTGATCTTCATTCTTAAAATCTTGTTATTTAGCCAGACACAGCTGAGCTCCCTGCATGGGGTCCAGCTCCAGGGCCGCCCTAGTACTCATCAGGATAACAGCCTCAGCCTGGAAGTGCATCCTGGATAAATATCGCCGTCACCGGCTCTAGGAAGCTGGGCTCCACTTTTTGTAAAATGTGATGAAACCATAGTGTGAGCAACAAAAACTGATAAATTCGACTGAACTATTCCAGCTATCTCTAGAGCCTCTGATTTACAAAGGCATCCTTCAAATAACATTACATTACATCTTTCATCACTCAGTTGTGTCTGACTGTTTCTGACCCCATGGACTATGGCCCACCAAGGGGCTTCTCAGTCCATGGAATTCTCCAGGCAAGAAGACTGGAGTGGGTTGCCATTCCCTTCTCCAGTATTTAAATAGACTCCTAAAATAATCCTAGTTGCCATGCACTAGGTAAGTATCGAAACAAATTATCTTACCTATATGTACCCCAGCTTTCTCACCCATAAAATGGAGATAATTAAAGCACCTTCCCTATGAGGTGTCGTAAGAATTTCAGTAAATAGTTCCTAGTGTATATAGTAACCTCTATATAAACATTAGTCATTGTCATTGTTGTTACTCTTATTTTGTTTAAAAAAAAAATTAAGTGTTAGCAAGGCCAGGGGTGGGAAAGAGGAGCCCTGCCAATTTAAGATTAAAAATGAAATTGTTCTGAAGTTGAATGTAAAGCAATAGAAAATAATAATTGGTTGATAAAAGAATTGGAATTGGAATTGACAGATTGGGGTGATAGTTCCACTGCTTTTCTGCTCAAACCTGACCTGGAGCGGCAGCTTCACCATCACCTGGGAACTGGTTAGAAATGCAGAATCTATCTCAACATCGAACTCTGCTCCCACTTACTGGATTAGAATCTGCCTTCTAACAAGATGTCTAGGGAATTTATGTGCATGTTAAAGTTAGAGAAAGGCTACTTTATGGCACATACTGAAGTTTCAGCACTTGCATGTTAAAGGAATAAGACCCCATTCTGTAGTTATATCTCCACGTGAATAGCAAAAGTGTTAGTTTCTCAGTTACGCCCAGCTCTTTTGCGACCCCACTGACTGAAGCCCACCAGGCTCCTCTGTTCATGGAATTCTCCAGGCAAGAATACCAGAGTGGGTAGCCATTCCCTTTCCAGGAGATCTTCCCAACCCAGGGATCAAACCCAGGTCTCCACATTGCAGGCACGTTCTTTATGAATGAGCCGCCTGGGAAGCCCATTCCTTCTCTTAAATCCTGCACCTCCACGTTAGACGGTTTCAAGCAACCTAAGTCTTAAAGTAGATGCTCCTTTCACGAGCCAGAATAATAATACGTCAGGAGGGCATCAGAGCAGTGAAATCACCTCTTGTTAGTAATGTCATCATCAAGTCATCATCAACGGCTAACACTTATTGAGCTCTTAAAATATGCAAGGATTAACACAAGGTGGTTTCTATATGTTCTCAGTGAACACTCACAATACTCTTTCAAATATTACTGTGTCCATTTTATAAATGAGGAAACTGAGGTTCAAAGAGGCTACATCACTTTCTTTTGTCCAAGTTGAATGGGGGGAAAAGGTCTTTCTGGAATTTACTCTCTTTCTCAAAACTGATGCCTAGAACATCGTAATCAAGTGAAGTGGGGAGCTGTAATTATCTCTCTTTTTAGGTAAAGAAAACTGAGACACAGAGAGGGTGAATGCATGATGTAAATCCACAACCTGAAACTTAGGTCAGAACGAGGTCCATGAGGATTCTAGTTTTTCAGATTAAAGAATTCTGCTGCTAGAAATGCCAACAATAATATAATGGCATTGAAGAGATAGGGGGAAATAAATAAAATTTAAAGAAAGGTTTCCATAAATGAAGCTCTGTACAGTCAAACCAAGGAACTTCCAATTTTAATATCTGAAGTCAAAGTCTTACTGGGGTGTCAGCCTCTTTGGCAAACCAGCACGGCCAGATTTTTATTGCTGTGGCTTGTGTCAACTAAGGCCTTATCAGCACATCTCAGCTAACATCCTACACAGTGTTATTCTTGCACACCTGTGAAATTCTCCTAATTACAGTCTCTCTGATTTCTTTCACCAGCTCTCCGTCCAAGTTTGATATCCAAAGAGTTCAGAATTCAGCAAGACTAGTCAAAACCATGCTTAGACAGTAGTCATGTCATAAAGTCAAATACACCGGTTCAGAATCAAGTGATCAGGAACACTTACCCAGGCCCCAGTGAATGCCTGCTTCCTCTGGCCCTGAGGGCAGCAGGGAAAGAATCAGGATTTATTGACTAAACATTTTAGAGAAGGAAATGACAACCCGTTCCAGTATTCTTGCCTGGAAAATCCCATGGATGGAGGAATCTGGTAGGCTACAGTCCATTGGGTCACAAAGAGTCAGTCACAACTGAGCGACTTCACTTTCTTCCTTTCTATATTAGTTTCTGAGAGCTGTCACCAAAAAAATAAAAAATAAAAAAATACCACAAACTAGGCTGATTTCAACAATAGAGATTTATTTTCTCATGGTTCTGGAGGCTGGAAGTTCAAGCTCAAGGTGTTGGCAGGTTTGATGTTGAGGCCTCTCTCCTTGGCCTGCAGACAGCCACCCTTCTGCTGTGCCCCAACAGGGTCAGCTGTGTGTGCAGATGTCTTGCTTGTGTCTTTGTTTCTCTGTCCCAATGTCCTCTTCTTATAAGGACACCAGTCATATTAGACGAGGGCCCACCTTAACAACCTCATTTTAATTTAATGACATCTTTTTTTTTTTGCTGTTCTGGTCTTCGTTGCTTTGTGAGGGCTCTCTCGTTGAACTGAGTCATTTGAAAAGACCCTGATGCTGGGAAAGACTGAAGGCAGGAGCAGAAGGGAATGACAGAGGATGAGATGGTTGGACGGCATCACCAACTCAATGGACGTGAGTTTGAGCAAACTCCAGGATATACTGAAGGACAGGGAAGCCTGGTGTGCTGCAGTCCATGGGGTTGCAAAGAATCAGGCATGACTTAGCCAGTGAACTGAACTGAATCGAGGGCTCTCTCTAGTTGCAGCAAGCAAGCAGGGTCCTCCCTAGCCGTAGGACGTGGGTTTCTCATTGCAGTGCCGTCTCTTACTACAGCTCCCAGGCTCTAAAGCGCACGTTTCAGTAGTGATGACGGGCTTAGCTGCCCCACGGCATGTGGGACCTTCCAGGACCACAAATTGAACCTGTGTCCTCTATATTGGCAGGAGGATTCTTAACCACTAGGCACCAGAGAAGCCCCTGATGACATCTTCAAAGGCCCTATCTCCAAGTTCATGTACATTCTCAGGTCCTGTGGGGGTGAGGGGAGGGCGTCACAGCATGAATATGCGGAGCACACAATTCAATTCACAGCTGATCATGAATAGATCTCTTCCTCCACGGCCACTAAGCCCTAGAGCTGGGCTAAGGCCTTCTCAACCAGTTTGGGTTCAATAAGAAGCAAGAACCTGCAATAATCTGAATCTCTCACACCTGTGACCCAGACCACTCTGGAGGGAGACTGAAGAGGAGGGATTTCCAGACGAGACCTTTTCAGTCTATGCAGCCTAGGTTCTTCCCTGCCCCCACTAATCACGAGTTCAGGTGAGGTCACTCTGAGCTGGCTTTTTAACAAAATTTAAATGGTACTTCTAAAACCGGCCTGAGTCAGCGACATGAATGACTACAGTACTAAAAAGTTCGAACTGGAAAGAACTGGAATCTGGCCGCCTGCGAGGCCTCTTGTGCCCAGAGGCACATGCTCCTGAGCGGTGAGGTGCTGAGTCCTGGGAGCTGGCACTGGACTTCCCAGACAGCTGCCCCGAGCAGCAGGACCACCCAGAGGCGAGAGCCAGCCCCGGCCAGCCCACTCAGCCCCCCAGGGCAGCACCAGGAAATGTCAGCTAGTAGGAGGGAGGGAGGGCAGCACAGGGCGAACTCATCAGGAGGTGCAGGCTTCACACAGGGGGTGTGCAAACGCTCCAAACAACGATCAGACATCAAGTTCCTGGGCCTCTACACCATGAGACGGTAGGAACAGAACAAGACTAAAAGTGAGAGTGCCATTTGCTATTAAAATGAAAACCCACACATCGTTAGTTTAATAAACCTCATTAATGTAGACTGCCCTAATTTTCAATTTTAGTAATTCAGCTATTCCTGACATCATTAATTTTTAAACTTAGATCTGAAAGCCTTTCCATGTTGATATAAAATTACATACTCTTTCTAGGGGTTTTAAAGGTTGTTTTGCCATTTCATTTAGTATATGATATGGACTTGAAAGTAAACATTATGTTAGATCAGCATATTACTAAATGTATTGAAGATTATATTGTAGAGATCTCTTGCACAGAGGCAATGCAGAATATGAAACTAGAGAGGAAAATGAC